CAATTCCAGTGCTTCTAATAAAATCCGATCCTAAAAGTGTCCTGTTACCCTTCGCTGAGGGAAGCGCAAATAAAGTTATGCGGAATGATCTTCCTTCAATGTGAATGTCTACTTTGGCCATGTGAACCTCTTCGTTCCTTTGAAATCGTCGGCAAGAGCGAACTCCATAGTAGTTTTGTTAAATTCTAATCCCTGTTCTTTCAAAAGATTATATAGTAATGTTTCTCCCGCTATAGTGTGAGTAGCACCAGTGTCAGCACAAATAATTCCCGTAAATCCGTTGACTTTTACTCTTAAAGAGTCGTGTAAGGTGTCTCTACAGACAATGTGTGTAAGTTTATACTAGCTTTGAAGTCGGCTGATTCTTTAATTAAAGAAGGAGAGCAGGTTGGACACTTAGCCCTAACGACGCCTGATTTTCCACAACCATAACACAACTAACAGTTGGTCGATCTTCTCTCATGCCTTGTCGCCTTGTCAGAATTCCTTGTCGCTGAGGTTTAACAATTTGAGGGTTATTTTTATTATTTTTAGGACCACTACATTGAGACGGCTTTGCAGTGGTATTACTGACGTTTCTACTTCTGATGTATTTAGCTTCTTCATATAAATCTAATTTATCAGCCAGTTGAAGCAAATCAGTCCACTCAGACCAGTGATTCACAAAATGTTCTCTATACTCAGAAGGGGACCGTCTTTTAATTTGGTCCGATATCATCAAATCCTTTAACTTCTCAAAAGTATTGACTTTTAATTCGCCAATCCAGCCAGCAAAGAAATTCTCAAATCTCGTCATGTACTATCAGGACTTTTGAGATGTTGCGAAAATAACTGTCGAAACTTTTCAACGCTTAATTTAAAACGCTTTAACGGAATTTGTTTGATGTTGTCATAATCTTGTCCATCACCAGCAGATTCCTTTGCAGTCAGTTTTTCAACGTCATTAGAGATACACTACCCATTTCCCTTGAGGTATGTTCAAAACTGTTAGTTGCCTTTCAAATAAAGTGAGAAAAAAGTTCATGTCATCACTTTTTGGATTAAAGTGAGGAATTAAAGTTTGTAATTGTAACTTAGGAATATCCGTGTCAGTGGGATTCAAAGCAGGTACGGAATCATGACTAGCACCTGAACTAGCTACTTGTGTTTTCAATTTCTCAAGCTCGTCCTTGTGTTCTTCTGTCTCTTTCCTTTCGTTATATTCGCGTTCCTCACGTTGTTTTCTTTCGTTAAATTCACGTTCCTCTATTTCTTTTAGTTCCGCAATAATGCTAAAAAAATTGATCTTTAGTGAAATCTTCATTATATCCCTGACTCACTAAAATGGTATTCATAATATCAACTGTTGTCATTTGTTCCATAACATTCACACCAAGTTCATTTACTAGAAGCCCACCAGCGGCCGAGCGGTAAAGACGCTAAACACTGGTAGTTCGGTCCGAGGTTAGAATCCCGCGAACGGGCTGGCTGCATGGGCGTTTTCGTGGTTTTCCCCATGTATACGAGCCAGTTTCCCTTAGAAAGTCCTCCACGAAGGCATCCCTCCCTTTAGGGAGATAGCCCTCGTGTGCTATGCCATAATTGAGTAATCCAATCCAATCCAATCCATTTACTAGAACACATATATCATGTTTACGTCCCTTAGCAAAAAACGACATGGTGACGTGTTTAACTTAAGATAAATTCTTCGATGGAAAAAAAAAAAAAAGCCTTACTATGGCACTAACTAAAAGGTTGTAATGAGGTCACCTTACCCAGAATAGCAGCACTATACTAAAGTTAGTTGTATCAAAAGTAACAGTGTTAAAATAATATATGAAAAAAAACTCTCTCTTCCTTAAAAGAAAACACTTTACAGGGCTTAGAAATGGCACAGTTTATTTAAATAACATCGATAAAATCCTTTTCCATTAATTATTTCTATTCTCAAAGAATAAAATAAAACATTTGTGGATAGCAGTACACTTATGAAAACTAAAAGCACTGCTCACACCTGAGAGTATATCAATACGAAAAGTAGTATAAAATAAGTACAAAAAAGTAACATTTTACCAGGAAGAATCTTACCCTTTAATTTTCAAAATGTCATCAAAGCAAATTTTCAGTTTCTGATATGTTATATAGGGTACACTTCAGCACAAATAAACAATTTTTTTTTCATAACTATTCAATTATATTACCATATTCTCGTCTTTTTTTCCTCAAGCCTAACGTTTTTAATTTCTAATACATTAATTAAGTTACAATAATACGCCGAACAAGTATTAATTTAGAAGTGAAGCAACAAGAATCAGCGATTTATTTTCAAATTATCACAGGATTAGTTTCGATGGTTTTACCGAACTGTCATCCTCAGCCAAAGAACGTATAGACGTACAATACATATTCTTTGTCTTAGCTGCTAAAGCGCAAATGAACGAGATACGATATACTGATTACATAAGAAAGCCTGGACAGTAGATAAGCTACTGGCGCCATCTGTTGATGAAACCAGAACTAAAATATAATTTTTTTAAAGGCTGTAGGCAAAGATGAATTAGAATAAAGGTCGATAACTATAACAGAAAGATCCTTTTTTTAGAGTGAAATGCCTCTAGAAAATCCAGTTCACCAATGGAAGACGTTTTTGAATAATTTTGGCAGCAGAAAAATTGAAAGTGTGATTTTCGGACCAACAATGTTGGGCAACAGAAGACTTCTGTGTTTTCTTTTTTCTAACATACGCCTCATGTTCCTTAACGCGAAATTTTAAGGCTCTCTTAGTTTGGCCAATATAAATTAAACCACACTGACAAAGAATCCTGCAAGAACCCCAGGAATTCATATCCGGAATGGGGTCCTTGAGTATGGAACTCGGAATTTTATTAATGGGAGAATAAACGACCCGAAAGTTAAATTTCTGCAAAATACGTGCAACTTTATAACTAATTGATGGAAAGAAGGGAATGACAACAGAATTTTTATAATCTTCTAAAACAAGAGTGTGCCTTTTGGTGTGTTGAGATGAGAATTTTTTAACTGCTTGATTAATAATGTTGGGTGAAAAGCCCTTGTCAATAGCTACTGCTTTTAAATAATTTAGTTCTTTATCAAGAGACAGTTTGGAGGAGCAAACTTGAAGTGCACGGAAAACATAAGAATAAAATGAAGCTAACTTTTGTTTAGTCGGATGACTGCGGTGGAAGGAGGTTTACGGTAAACCGTAGTGCTGAAGTTGGATGTGTTACGTGTGACCAGAATGTCAAGAACGGAAGAGAATTGCATGTCTCAAGCTCAAAAGAGAAAACTGAATAGCAGGATTAATTGGAATTCATTGTTGAAATAACTTTATTTAAATCATCTTTATTACCTTCAAATTCAACTCTCTTTGAAGCAAACGCATTTTGTTTTTCAAAATAAGTATTAAAAGCAAACTAAGGGATTGGCCATGGGAAGCCTCCTGAGTCCCATCCTAGCTGATATCTATGTTACCGTGAAAGACCAAAATTGGAGAATGTCGACTTTCACCGGAGAATATCAACATTCACCAAATACGTCGGTGAAAGACCGAATATTTCACTACATTCTTGTATATTCGGACCCTCACCGGTGTATGTCGACAATCACAGATATGCTCTGGTGAAAGTCGAAAAGAGAGGTCATAAAGTGCCATAATAGTTTAAGTTTTGCAATAAATAAGATTTGAATCACATAATTTAGTAAGTTTTTTATGACTGTTATTTTATTTTCTCATTTAGAACGTACTGTATAATTAAGTAAGTTTTTAACTTCTATTACTTTCCTTTCTCATTTTGAATGTATTGTGTGTTTTAGGTTCTCATGTTCTTAAGTTCTTATTTCGAGTCTCAAGTGCGTTTATTCGCGACTGAATGACGGAGAAGAAAATATAATATTGTTATATGTTCAACATTCACCATTCATACATGGTGAATGTCGACATTGACCGGTGTAAGTCAGAAATAAGAGTATTTGGAAAATATTTCGGACATACAACCAAGAGACTATGTGAATGTTGACATTCACCGGTGAAAGTCGACATTCTCCAGATTTCGGTGTTTCACCGTAACATCTACATGCTTTATTATGAATCAAAATTATTTGAAACTTTAAACTTCGCGGTAAGGTTTCGCTACGTAGACGATATTTGTAGCCTGTTTGAAGGTACTTTTATTCCAACGGAACAAAAGCTGAAATGCTTCTCAAACGTGTATGTAAATGAAAAAGCATCCCTTTAGCAGTAACATAAAATCTGGATGCTTTCAGATTTTTTTTCTCCTTATTTTTTTATCTTTATTTTTTCCTTATTTTTTATTACATGTTTCATTAATCAATTTTCAATCTTAGCTATTGAATAACCACATGTATACTTTTCATTTTTTAATTATTTCTCTCCTTTATTTTTTTATCATTTATTTATTTATGTCTCTTTATACTTCCTTTCCTTGTTTATTATTTTTATTATATTTCACTTTATTCTTTCTTTCCTTCTTTATTATTTTTCATTATTTCTTTTCTTTTTCTTTTTTTTTCTCACTATTTTCAATAATCTGTTTTCCAACTTTAGCTCTTGAATGGCCACGTATATAATTTTCATCCTTTTACTTAGTTCTTTTTATTATTATTATTTATTTATTTCTCTTTATTCTTTATTTCCTTTTGTATTATTCATTCATTTATTTCTCTTTATTCTTTTTTCCTTTTTTTATCCTTTTTCTCTTCTTTTATATTTATTTCTTATTTTTTTTTCCTTACTTCACTCATCAGTTTTTCAACCTTATCTGATAAATGACCACATATATAATTTTCATAAAAACCTCATTAGGAGCTTATTTTTACCGGCCTTGATACCTTTAAAATTATTTTTTTCATTCTTCAGTACACAAATATATCGAGCTTTTAGTCCTGTAATATCCCAGTGGCCAGATGTAATGTTATCTCAGGCCGGCATATTGACGGGAAGAAGCAGAAAGGAATTCAATATTAAAAAATGTAGTACGTACCTCTTTTATAGTCTGATCCTTGTCCCTGAGCTGTAGAAGAGTAGCAATAGACTTTTTCAAATTTCTGAGAATCTGGCTTTCGCTTTCGTCATCCCACCACTGCAACACTCGGCCGGATTCCCACAGGAAATAAGAAGGAAGCGAAGTTATTTTGTCAAGCTTAGAACTGCGGATTTCGAAATTTGATTTCTTCGGCACGAGCAGTGTGGGTTCAGCAACCTAAGAGAAAATATTAATATAAATTAATAAAATACCAATAAAAATAAATAGAACTTCTATGAATTATAGTTATTAAATAATGTTTATCTCCCAAGACAGCCTTTCCCCCCCTTTAAGTGATTAAAAGGAGTTTTTGATCATTATTCCCTTTTTTTTTTATTACCATTAACTATTCAATATTAAATTTAGATGAGGTGCATCGATTTTGTTAATATTGAATAAGAATAAAATTAGATTAGATTCGAAATTTAACAAATTTTGCATTAGCAATCTGTACACCATTCGAAAAAGTGGAATAATTTCGGGAAAAAAAAATATGGAGTGTACAACTCACGATTTTCTTGTACAGCCTATTAAATTATACGAATTTTTACCTGTTACTTCATTTAAACTTATTTTCTCGAATTTCATTACAGATATATTTCTCATTCAATCAATTTAGAGCCTACCAGCGGCCGAGCGGTAAAGACGTTGAACACTGGTAGTTCGGTCCGAGGTTCGAATCCCGGGAACGGGCTGGCTGCATGGTCGTTTTCGTGGTTTTCCCCATGTGTAACGTGTATACGAGCCAGTTTCCCTTAGAACGTCCTCCACGAAGGCATCCCACCCTTTAGGCAGATAGTCCTAGAGGCTTTGCCATAATCACACACACACACACAATCAATTTAGTTCTCACTTCGCGGCACAGTAAAACTGCATGAAAACTCAAGACATCTTCATCAAATATTGTAAAATACAGAAAAAAACCTAAATCACCAAACACAGTTAAAATCAATTGAAAGTTAACTTTTGGTCCCACTGGGCAAAAAGACACTCAAGTTGGGGCACAAACTGACGTAGTTCACTATTCTACTAAAAGTTTCAAATATAAACCACTGACTGTCTCATTAGGCCTAGCGCCACTTCTAAATGCTTGATAATTCTACAACTATTACTTTCGGATTAACTAAAAGCATAAAATCCTTAACCGTAATATAAGAACAACATAATTAAACCACTTTAAAAAAAAAGTGCAAAATTTACTAACATATACGAACAGAAAACAGAGCTCACCGACGTGGGTAAGAGAGCTACAGTGGATGGACAAAAATATGGAAACACCTTGTGAAATGCATGTTTGAAAAGAAAGATTGATTTTAATGAAATATGTAGGTGGCGCTGGCATTTTTGACTACTGACGCCACCTATACAACTTCGTAAATGTGCTAAACAGTTCAGTTGTTGTCGGAGTACTGTTATGTGAGGTTGTCATTGCATTATGTCAGAGTTAACAGACTTCGAACGTGGGCAAATTGTTGGAGCACGTATGGTAAGTGCTTCCGTAAGCAAGGTAGCCGAGGTGTTTAGTGTTTCAAGAGGTACTGTATCGAAGATTTATTCCGCATATTTGAAAAGCGGAAAAACATCATCTGCTAAATCACAGCGCGGACGAAAGTGTGTCCTGAGTGATCGTGACAGACGATCATTAAGGGCAATTGTGACGAAAAATAAGAAGACCACAGCTGCAAAAGTTACTGCTGAAATGAATGTTGTGTTACCGAACCCTGTGAGTACCAAAACAATTAGAAGGGAGCTTCATAAACAGGGAATTGCTGGCCGTGCTGCAATTGAGAAGCCACTCATCAGTGATGCTAATGCCCGTAACAGGAAAAGGTGGTGTTTAAGTCATAAAGCCTGGACTATAGAGCAGTGGAAGCGAGTAATATGGTCTGACGAGTCTTCTTTCACATTGTTTCCCACTTCTGGCCGAGTTTACGTCTAGAGAACGCCATCTTAAGCCTATAATACAGACTGCTTGTTGCCAAGAGTGAAACATGGCGGGGGTTCTGTTATGGTTTGGGCAGCCATATCGTGGTTCTCTGCTAGCCCCATGATAACTGTGTCAGGGCACATGACTGCCAAGACTTATGTGAACATTTTGGCCGATCAAGTTCATCCCATGGTACAAACTTTGTTCCCCGATGGTGATGGTGTCTTCCAAGACGACAAAGCCCCTGTTCACACAGCTCACATTGTCCAGGACTGGTTTTTTTCTGAGCACGAGGATGAGTTGTCCCATCTCCCCTGGCCACCACAGTCACCAGACCTGAATATTATCAAACCTTTGTGGTCTACATTGGAACGGAAAGTGCGTTCTCGTTATCCACCGCCAACATCGTTATCTGAACTTGCCACCGTTTCGCAGGAAGAATGGTATAATATTCCCTTGGCAAACATACAGGAACTGTATTTATCCATTCCGAGAAGACTGCAAGCTGTTTTGGATGCCAAAGGTTTTCCTACACCATATTAAGCAAAGAAACATGTCTTTTTAAAGGTGTTTCCATATTTTTGTCCAACCTCTGTATAATTTGTTTCAGTAACAAGCCTTTTAATTCCTCTTTTCTAATGTAGTTATTTCCTCTTTATTCTAAAACATTTAATAAGATTTCTGGATTGCGTTACATCTAGATCAATTTATGTGGCATGGTTTGTGTAACGCCGATGAGGCAGGTGATTCAGAACCTGAACTCAAAATTTTGAGAACTGAAACCAAAACCTTCCTCAATAGTATTAAAAATGTAAATATTTTGCAAATAGGCACGATTACAGTGCCAAGGGAATTGTGGCCAAAAATGTCAATTTAAATAAAAATGGAATTTTATCCGCACCGACTGCCAAGCCTCCTAGTCATTAAAGGTTTAACATTCTACGCCATCAGAATTCTTCCTCTTGAATATGCAATCTTGCTTCGCCATCAGTATTTTCTGCGTTTCTACGTCTCAGTGTTCCTATATCAGTACTTCTAAATTTGTTTTTTATCTCACCTGCACACACACACATATGTAAACCGTGTGTATATATATATGTATATATATATATATCGTTTCCTTCTTGTTTTTTAAAACTCCTTTCTAATATTTTAATGAATATATATATGTGTGTGTGATGTATCAGCTTTTGTCCAGAATAAATGGATCGTTGAAGAAATATAGATGTAGTCGTAGCTTAAATTATCAGACGATAAGTTTAAAAAACAGGATCCATTTATTATTATTCAGGAGAAATAGCAGTTACAAAATCAGATATCCGGAGTAAATAAAAAGAATTATTAATAACTTTTTGTATGAAGTTTACTGCATCGTTGCATTAAAGAAAAGCCCTCGATATTCCTTTGCGAGTCCTTTTATAGCCTCTGGAAAGGCGGAGCTTCCAAGAAATGACGTCAACCTCGTCAGCCAATCCACTTCGCTTTAAATATTTCCAGAACATTCTATAACTGTACGTGTAGAAAAGGCGGGAAAAACAACTTGACTACGGGGCTGTGAATTTAATTCCACGTACTTTCCAATAAGAGACCGTCGCCATTAAAAATGAAAAGAACATACAGTTAGAATTTTAAGTGTATTCTTGGCTATGGAATTTTATTATTACATATATATGTATTTTATATATATCAATAATGACATAAAGTAAGCAATTTAGAACTAATTTTTCACAAAAACCAAAAATTGATATTCATAATTAATAAATTTCAAATATTCCTGTAAATACATTAAAGAATTTTAAAAATATTAAAACCAAAGCTTTTCAAACAAGCGATACCCCAATTCAAAAAATTAAAGAAATTAATACAAAAAGCGAACATGTTAGAAGAGGAATTCAATCAACTTTAATGCCACTTCGTCAGGAGGAGGACTTACTTTGTCTTTACTGATAATTCTTCAACAGCTTAATGCGCGAAAATATTAGGCATGTTTATATTTTGTTTTTAAAAAATCGTTTTGTAAATATATATATATATACAGGTGTGTATCGGTGCAACGGTGTCAAACTTTCAGGAGAGATAGAATACACCTAAACGATGGAAAATCACATAGCAATACATGATCGGAAACGCTTTCCTGTCGCGGTAGTGTCGACACAAATCACAAGAAAAGAAGGACACGAACAAGGTGAGGAAACATGTTTATTATGCTGAAATAATAACAAAAACAGACAACAATCGTCATCAAAGAAGATGTTCGAAATTACGACCCCGGACTGTGATGCAGGCGTCACATCTTCAGTGCGTGGAAGATGCATCACATCACGGTCCGGGGTTGTAATTTCGAACATCTTTGATGACGATTGTTGTCTGTTTTTGTACTTATTTCTTGGTTTCTGCTGTACTAAGCACAATAAACATGTTTTCTCACCCCGTTTGTGTCCTTTCTTTCGTGATTTTTGTGTCGTAACTAACAGGGCAGGAAACGTTTCCACCCATGCATTACTGTGTGATTTCTCATCGTCTAGCTTTCCTGAAGTTTGTCACCATTGTACTGATATGCCCTGTATATATATATATATATATTATAAGCAAAGTTGTAAGAACAATACAAAAAAGACCAATTTTGGTCAAAATTTTTTTGCGCAATGTGCTGCAAAATTAAGGAAATGAGAAGAGAAATTGTAGTTCGCTCGCTAAAAAGTTACCAAAAGCTGTGGCTCCAAGAAAAATCCAACATGTGCATATCCAGTAGTTTTTACAAGTTCGAATAAAAAACTATATGTTAAATATTTTCGGAAATTTTAACACAGTTTTAAAAAAACTAATTAAATTGAATGAGGTGATATATTAGGCTACATGCGAAATAAAATGTAAATTATAAAACACAGTAAAATACCAATCGATGGAACAAGTTAAAAAACATATTAAAAATTAAAAAGCGAAAATGGTAAATTAGCTCATTCGAGGTCCACTCTGCTTTTCAAGGGAATTTCTGAGTGAACATACCGAATAGTGAACATTTCGAGAACGTAATAATAAATATATATATATATATATATATATATATATATATATATATATATATAATTTATTATTACGAAAGGTATTTATATATTTATATATAATCTCCAAGGAAAGAAATTTATTTAATTAACGCTATGAATTATTAGAAAAAAAAACTTTAATAAGTATTTGTAAGTAGCTTTCCAAATACACGTTTGGTACGGACGATTGCAATTAAAAAAATGGA